GCCCACCCCCAAAGCCCCTAGGCCACAGATGACCCCAGTGGCTAAGGAATGTCCTCTTCCAACAAAGGCTCAGTGGGGGAAGGGGCAGTGGCGCTGGGCCACATGCAACACTCAGCCATTTTTTTTTTTTAGATTTATTTATTTACTCCTAGAAGACCTGGGGTGTTGGGGGATGTGAGAGGATTCACCACAGAGTGGGGAACAGAACAGACAGATCCACTGAATACACTGCTGAGGGGAGCAGCGGGGAGACAGGAGGGGTCTGCTGCGCCATGCCCCCTGGCCGGGGATGGAACTGGAGCCATAGTGGTGATGGCGCTGAGGCTTAATCCCTAGGCCGCCGGGGAGGCCCAACACTTGGTCACTTTAGCACCTGCTGTTTCAAGGGCAGGAGTAGGAGGGCAGAAGGTGTGGGGTCAAGCCCGGGTTGGGAATATGGGCTGGGACCACCTCTCAGCCAGGCTCGGTCAGGTGGATGAAGGTCATTATCACAGCCAGGCTTACTGCCCTCCTCCAGGAAGCCTTCCTGCCTTGCCAGGATGGGGAAGGACAATCCTCCAGGCCTAGGCCAGTCACCTTCACCCACACTGGCCTCTGGTCCAAATTACAGACTTAAAATTGCTGAAGGGACTTGACCTCAGGTCACATGAGGCCCCAGCACCTGCCTCCTGGTACACAGCAGGCACCACCCAGAGAGGTCTGCTGGCTTCTGCTGCGGCTAGGACAGTCCAATCTTCCTAAAGCACCCCAAACCCCCTCTGTGAGGAGGAACCTTCGCCATGATGGTTGAGTAAGGACAAATGTTATCACCTGAGATGGGGGAGCGAGGTAGGGCCTGTGCACCCAGTGTCCTCACTGCAGCACAGAGGAGGAAACTGACACCTGAGCACCATCACCAGTGACAGACACCGGGGCAGGGGTTGCCCTGCTGTGCTCTTCTCTTGCCCTCTAGCCTGGGCCCCAGCACTTACAGAAGCCCCGAAGGACCAGAAGCCCACACTACTCCTGGCATCAGGCTCATCTGGGGCTTCTCACACCAGGGGCAGCAAGGGGCACATTTTCCTTATTATCAATCATGGTTTGGCCTAAACCCAGACTAAGGGAGACCAGTCGGCCTGCAGACGAGCCCACCACCCAGGCCCCAGAGGCTCAGCACCAGGGGAGTCCAGCCACTGTCCCTCTTAAGGCTATACCTTCCTCAGAGCCTGAACCCGAGAAGTAAATGGGGTAATGTTCTCCAGCAGTGGCCTTCAAACCAAACCCCCTAAGATAAATGTTTAAAACTACATATCTCTTTGCACATTTCCAAGCTGACACTAAAATTTCTCATCATAAGTTTAAATACTTGCAGAGGATGTAATTTCCAACATATTGTAAATATTAACATTTCAAAATAAAACTGTTAAACTGTTTTTCTTTTAAATGGATCCAATGGAATCTAAATACCATAGCAATTTGAGATCCACCATCATCCATCTAAAAATTACATAATCAAAGTCCTCTTAAACAGTTGGAAATTGAGCAGAGCTCCTTGTGCCTCCTTGAACTCCAATTTTCAATCCATATCCCTCAGGGAGGGTCCCACCATCTCAGAGCAGTTTATGTCTGAAAGCCTTTTCTGGATAATTCCACTGTGCTACTAGACCAAAAAAATACCTTTTAAATTTTTATTTTTTGTCACGTGGCCGTAACATTCTAAGTGTCAAACATTTTCTTCAGGACCAAATTATCATTACAATTATGAGTAGTACATAATTGATTAATGACAGAAACAAGTTACAAATGTGATGAGTATAATAAGCATAAAAAAAAAGCCTTATTGGAAACACATTTCAGAAGAACTGATAGGAATTTCTCTCAATGATTTCGTGTCTCCAAAGATGACCATTATCTACTGCCAGAATAGGGCACAGTTTATTATGTACGCTTTCACCACTTTTCAATTGTTACTGATATAAGATCAGAAATCACTTTGTCAAATTAAAAAAAAAGGACTGGGAAGCGCTGCTGTAGGAGATTCTCTGAATTCCTTGAGAATTCCATGCCAAGAATTACAGTAATAGACTATCAAACATCATCGTAATGTTCCATCGGCTGATTACTGAAATCAGTTTCTCTTTCAATTTTGCTGCAAGTAAAGAACTGGAAATAGCTTGCTTGCCCCGGTTCACGCTGGCTCGCTTTGTGGCGCTCAGTGGGCTTCATGCCCCAGGCACACACCAGGTTCAGCTCTGCCAGGTGATAACCAGCTTCCGGTAGATAATCAGCTTCCTGTGTGCCATGCACCGTGCCAACGATCCCATTTTCAGGTGGGAAGAAGGAAGCAGAGTGGTTAGGAAACTTGCCAGGGGTCACACAGCCAGAAACACAAACCCAGGTGCTGTGCCTCACGTTGCGTGGCTGCCTTTGGGGAGCTGGGAGGAGGCCCACACGAGGGGGTGGGACACTTCTTTCCACGCTCCTTCCCAAGCACATCAGCTGCGGGAACCAGCACAGAGAAAGCTGAGAATCTGCAAAATTCACCTTCTTCTACATGCGCCTACCCCCACCTTAGAGAGTTACACACAAACACTTCTTTCAAATAAATGGCACCGAGCCGGTACACCTTAATACCCAATAAATGTTAAGCAGTTGTCACTGTTGTCGTTAAACAGCAGGAAAAGAAGCAACTCCCATGCCCTTGACCAGGACAAACACTGCAGGGTTTTACCAGCCGTTTAGTCTTGGTGCCTACCCGGAGGTCCCAATATCCCTCGTGTAGACACACCCAACGCCCAGGTGATGATGAGTGGATAGGCGCCTACAACACGGAGCAGCCTGTTAACATGCAGGAGACCCCGAGAGCAGAAACACCACGAGGACTCCAACCCCAGCTCTCCCACTTAGCAGCAGGTTCCCCAAGAGAAGTTCCAGCATCCTGCACCTGTGTGTCCTCATCCTTCAACTGGACATGGAAACATCATCCATGGCACCAAGTGGCCACACCTGAAACGCAGGCCGGTGGCCCCTTATCCGTCCCCTCCAGTCACTGACATCCTGTCCCCAGCATCCTGCAACCACCAGCCTGGGGGCTCCACACATAGAGACCCAGTTGATTTTGAAAACCAGCCCAGGGCTTGGCTTCTGGTTTTTGCAAAGGCCCTCTCTCTCCATCTTGAAATTTCAACTTCGGCAAATAACTCGGGGATGCCAGGAGGCGGTGAGCAGAGGGACATCGACATGGGTTTTATTTTTAGATGCCGGTATGGAAAGCATCAGTTTGGCTTCACTCTGGTCCCCAGCCACCACCTCCTGCCTCAAATCGTCACCAAAATGAGCAGCAGACATTGAGGAAGATTTCATAACTCTGTGCCTGGCGTGATCTACATACACCGAGGGTTCCAGTCTCCACTCCACCCACAGATTAAGTGGATTACAGGGCTTAGCCTAAATCTTCCCAAGAAGACACGTAGTGTCAACACACTGCCCCTCCAGGTGATCTCTCAAATTCAGCAGCTCCAAGGCCCCTCCTTCCCCTCCCATGGTGCAAATGGCTTCCCACTCTTCACAGTCCCAGGTCTTAGGTCCACAGGAGGCAAGTACTGGGGGCATTTATTTCATTTTAGGCAGTGTGTTTATTGGTGAGCGCATGGATTCACTTCCTGAAAAATGGCTCCCAAAAGAAATGTTCTGTGGACCCTAACATCAGGGAGCACCTGGCCCTTCACACAGCAAACTTCTCCTACAGCTCCAACTACAGGTCTGGGCCTCAGTGATGGATACAGCTGCATCTGCATAGGGTCCAGGGACTTCCAAGGTGACCACTGATCAGGACCAGGAGACAAAAGCATCCTAGAGCAGGGTGGTCTTAGACACCTGGCCCCAGAACAACAAGCATACACTGCACCACCTCCGCCCACTGCTGCACCCATGGCAGGCATTATCAATCAATCCCTGTGCTCACCCATTCAGATTTTGAATCCTCCAGACAGTCACTTACCAATCAGAAATGCCCCCTAAGCACACTTCTTAGGCCCTCATGAGTCCCCATATTCCCCTTCTGATGGACAGAGAAATTAAAGCCCACAGATCATGCAACTTTGCCCAACCAAGATGAGCTTGGATGAAAAATCCACCACTGATGAGAGGCTTCCATAAACTATCTCCTCCCGCAAAATAAACCTCAGCCTCCGCATGATGAGTTCAACCCTCAAGCAACCAGGAGGGAGGACAGAAGGAAGAATTCTGCAGGCCTCCATCAAAGCTGCCCAGTCATCCTGCCAACCTCAGCCAAGCTGCTGTCGGAGTCTGTACATCTAACTATTTCAGGGCCACAGAGCCCTGATATCCTTCCTTCTCCCTCCATCCACCCTCCCCTCCTTCACCAGTCACTGAGCACCTGACATAAGCCAGGGTGAGGCAACTTGAGGGTCAGGGGCCCCCCACCTACTCAGCCACCCTGCAGGAGCCAGAGGCCATAGGGGAGATCAGGTGCAGCCAACTGACAGCAGAAAGAGTACAGGAGGAAAGGGACACACCCTGACTCATGGGGGCGGGGAAGGCGTGAGGGGCAGAGGTGGTCTCGAGAGATGACAGCACATCAGCTGTATCACGAGAATGGTCGGAGACAGCAGACTCATGCTGGGGGGAATGAAGAGCCAACGCAGGGGCCCTGGGGGGCTGGAGCTCCCTCAGGGGAGTCTGAGGACAGGGACCCACAAACTGTGGTGGGTGGCATCCAGGACCAGAGACATCTGGCTGGGTGGTTGTGCCCCTCACCCTACCCACCTCTCAGGTGACCAGCAACTTCCACCAACAAAGCCACAGCCACCCGACAAACCCAAGAAACCACCACCCTGACCCGCGTCCTACCAGGCAGAAATTACACCACATCCACAGGGGAGAAGGTAAGAACATGATGCAGGTGAAGCGAGGGCCAGGGAGCACCCTCGCTTCACCTGCATCACCTGGGGGGCCAGGTCCCTCCACTAAGCAACCGTGAGGGCGCAGTGGGTACTCACCTGCACGACTTCTATTCCTCGCTTCCTGTGGAGAAAAGCAAAGAAAACAAAGGTTAATCACACAGGCAGGAATCGTCCTTCCAGAATAATCACTACAGCCAGCTAAAGGTGTGGCTGTGAGGACAACTGATGGCTACACCTCTCCTCTCGAGTTGTGGCCCCCCAAACGGTCTGGTTTATGAACTCCTAAACCACTGGTAAGAGGGCTGGTTCCCCAGAGGGAACTCTAGAGGGACCCCAATTTTGCCTGCTTCCTCCCAGTCAGCTGTCCCTATTCCAATCCAGGGTCAGGGCTTCATGGGCACAGCTCCAGCCTGGACACCCTCCCCACCCCATTATTCCCCACCCACAGCCTACAATCCCTCCTTCAACTCAACCAGCTCCCATGGCTCCCCTGTCCTCCACAATAAGTCTAGAGCCTTGGCCTGGTCTCCCAGGCCTGCCTCAGTCCACTTCCCCCCGACCCATCCATGCCCCCATGTGAGGAGGCCACAGTCTCCCTGGCCCCAAACCCTTCTGTCCTGCTCTAGCTGCTTGTCCAATCCTTGGCCACCTCTGACCCCTATGGACATACCGCCCACCCTCTGACCCTGGTCCATCCATCACCTCCCTCACCAGCGGCCCCGCCCAAGCCCAGACCCCGCCACCTCCACCTCTCTCCCCACACATGGCACAAAGGCTCCCTGCTGACAGCCCCCTGAAGTCCCCCTACTCCCCAGTACCTTACTACAGGTGGTTACAAGCATACGGGGCACACAGGCCCACATGTTCCATGCAGCCTCCAGGCTCAGACGCTTCCCAGGGAGCCCCCGTCCCCCCAGCCTACAGGATGCCTCCACTCTCCGCCCGTGGGCCAGTGTCCAGAGCACTGACGGGTGTCACCACAGCGAGGGCCCAGGAAGGGCGCACACGCAGGTCCTTGCAGACCGTGAATTTTCCTGGGAAGTGGGGCTGGGCCTCCCACCGACAGGCAGAGGCGGCCGTGACCAGAAAAGGCCAGGAGTTGGCGTGACAGGCCCCAAGCGCCTTCCTTGGAGAGCGTCTGTGGCAGATTCAGTGGCCGTGTGCCCCTTGCCTGCTACGGTGCCCGCCTGGTGCCCAGACGCTCCACAGCGCATATCCGTCCTCACTTAGCCGGGTCCCTGCACCAGGCCGGCCCACCTGGGCTCAGGACACAGCAGAAACAACAGCCGAGGTCGGCCCTCCAGGGGCTCTGGGTCTGAGGCAGGAGCCGGCTGGAAGTCGCCGGGAGGCCTCCGGGTAACACTGAGCAGGCGCTGCCTCCTCACGCGGCACAGCTGAGGGGACACCTCCCAACACTTACACCCGTCGATCCTTAGCTCGATCAACAAGTGTTCCCAGCTAAGCGGAACCTCGACAGGAAGCCACAACAAGAGACAGGGAGATGGAGGCCAAAGAGAACTGAGCAGCCCACGCTGTGGGATATCCAGGCCCCGGGAACCCAATTTGAAAACTACAGGGCTTGATGCTCTTGGGGTCCCCCCTGTCGCTGAGCTTCTTTGAGGTTCTGGAAGGAACGTCAGCCAGTATCCACCTTGCTCCATGATTTCATGGGTAGAGGACTGGACACACAACTGGACCCAACAGCACAGCCCTGGGCCGCAGAGCCCACAGCAGGGGGCACCCACCCTGCTCAAAGCCCTGGCCCATAGGCGCCTGGCGCAGAACCTGCCCAAGGTCGCCCAGCAGGCGGCACGGTCTCCAGGTCAGGCTGAGCGAATCTGCTCCCCCTGCCCCTGCTCCTGCCTCTTAGGCAGCTGAGGGAGAAGCCCCACAGGGTCCCAGGCCCCAAGCCTGTGGAGCACACGGCGGGAGAGACAGCCGGCGCCGCTGACGGGGACACGGGGGTGTGTGATCTGCACCAGGTGCAGAGGCTTCCGCCTGGGGTGCGGTGCGGGGTCTCCCTCTGACTTAATCCTCTCGGCATCCAGATTATCCGGCCGGGCCCTCAGTGCCTAATGCAGCCACTGCAGTCACGTCCGACCTGTCCACAGTTCACAGCCTCCAGGCCAGCCCTTCACCCTCCCCCCGCCCAGTCCTGAAAACAAACAGGTCTCTAACTTCAAAAACAGATGGAACATGCAAAACAAAAGGAAAAAAAGTCATCTTGAGCCCAGACAGGCTGAAAATCATGAGTGGGGTCGGTTCCCAGGAGCCAGCCAGTCTCTCCGCGGCTCAGAGCTCCAAGAGCAGGACAACCGGCCACTCTCGGAGAGTGGTCAGGCCACACACCGGGCACCGCACAGATGCCCTGGACAAGGGGGCGATGCCGCGCTGAGTGCTCCCTGATCCCCACAAGGGAGGCTGGTCATCGCCCTTGACTCAGATGGGCAGTCCAGGTGGACAGCTGCGGGAGGTGTGGACACCGGCTGGGCAGCTCTGCCCGCCTCCCGGCGGCTGCGCAGCTGGCCGGGGGCACTGTGAGGCGTGAGCCTGGTCTCTGCTCTAGGGCCCCGGTGTGAGGGGGAGACCAGGAGGAGGGAGGCCAAAAAACTTATTCCCTGCGGGGGCAGAATCCCACACACACCACCGCAGCTGCTCAGGAAAACAAGATGTAATCCTGTCGGGGCTCTGGAGTGTCTGCAGGACAAAGGACTGACAGCCTTCATTTTCCAAGCAGCAGGCTCCTGAAATCCGGCCATAACCAGAAAGTTCAGAAATTGAAGCTTGACACCCAGGGAAAGGGGGGGGGACAGAAGGGAAGGGGACCCAGGGAGCCAGTTGTGATGTGGCTCACTGCGCCCCTGCAGCCCAGCTTCACCATCCCACGCCACAGACACGCTCACATCACGTGCAAAGTGGTTCAGGCGATGGAAGCTAAAGCCACACCGGCAGGGAGAGCAAGATCCTGGCAGCCAGGGGCGGCGCGGGGCTGGGGGAGGAGCGCGGCAGACAAGAACTAGGACCCACCCCACGCTCCCGCCATCAGGCGGTGCCTCCCGGACGCTGGTCCTCGAAAACGCAACCAGAAAGCCCTGCGTGCTGCGCGCGGTTACTTGGGCTAAGAGCAAGCTCCAGAGCGAGAATGTGCGCTTGTGCAGACACGGAGCGAATCTGAAAGTGCATCTGGTCCCGGGCAGGGGCGGCAGGGGGCGGGAGGAAGAGCCGACTTCCTGCTCGCGGCCTGAGCTCACGCCGTTCTCAAATCCTGTGCCTCCAGCTCAGCTCAGCAGCTCGAGCACCGTGCCGTTTAATTCTTTTTTAAAATAATAGTTCCCAGTGTTCCCAGCACCTGGCATAAAGTAGATGCCTGATAAGGACATGACTTAATCATCCATCGACGCATTGAAGCACGGCGTTCAGAAGTTATCTGGAAAAGCTTCCAAGTTCTGTGCAAAGAGGAGCTGAAATAACACCCGTTCTGGGCCGTCAGACTGGCCCGTGTCAGAGGACTGAGTTCACCCTCTGAGCCCGTGCACCTGCGGGGGTACCTGAGGATGAGCTGTGGGAACACACCGCTGTGTGTACTGCAGCGGCGGCAGCAAAAGGTCATGTGGCTTTGCCCTTTACACTTTCTAGGCTTTCTACAACAAGCAGCGATGTTGCTCCCAAAATGAGAGAAAATGGAATCCAAAAAGTTAAATAATTAAAGAATTTTATCAAAAACCTGCACCTGGGGGATGCATGCTGCAGGGTGAACAGGGGGGCCAGGCCAGGCCCTTCCTGGGGGAACAGTCAGCAGCATAAAGAGCCAGAAAATTCAGAGGACAGGTTTGTGTCTGTGCAGCCAGAGTCTCCAAAAGGAGGCCACGCGTGGAGAAAGGCCAGGCAGCGCCCAGGAAGGGCAGGCTCTTTAGCCAGAGGCCAAGGTTCCAACCCAGCAGCCTAAAGCCCGTCCTCTCTGGACTTTTAAGTTGTGGGTTTTCTTAAGCCTGTTTACACCTGGTTCCTGAAAAGAGTGAATCCTGCTTGATCCAGGAGGTGCTCAGTGACCCCTTCCCGAAGATGGCCAAACCACCCTGGGCGACTGGACGCAGAGAGGGAAGGACAAAGGAGTCCAATGATGAGGCTCAAAGGCAGAAGGAGAAAAGCATCGCATGTGCCGGGGTAGCAGGGGGCAGCGTGTGTGAGCCCACACCACCGCGAGGCCGCATAAGCCCGGGGACGTGGCGTCAGGAAGGTTACACGGGACATCTGTGGGGACAACCCCTGCGGAGCAGCAGGACGGCCTCGCAGCAGAGCAGGGCCTGTGAGCCCAGCTTTCACTTCTGCTAAGCCAGCATGACCTGTCTGGCCCACGCACACCTTTCAGGGCCAAGAGTGAGGCCCCAGGGCTGCCAGCAAGCGAAGCACACGAAACGGGAAACCAGCAGGGGAGGCCGCAGGTGCCCGCTGATGGACAGGGAATCCAAGGCGCAGTGACAGCTGGAGAATCCCAGGCTGGGGAAAAGCAGAGCAGCAACCAAACAGTGAAGTTTGTACAAAAAGGGGCCCTTGAGGTTAAGAACTGCTTTCCCGCAACATGCAAGGCCAGGCGCAGCCCACCCAGGCACAGCGGGGTGCTGGCCACAGCACGAGAGCCCCCCAAAAAGGGAGCCTGCGGGCTGACCCAGCATCAGAGAGGAGGCCAGGCCTCCACGGAACAATGTCACAGCAGTGAGAATCCACCTGGAAAGGCAGGCTCCCTCCCTCCAAGGGGCGAGGAGAAAGAGGCTGCACCTGCACCCAGAGCTAAAAGCCACTTAGAGAGGGAAGCGTGTAATTATGCAAGTGGGAGCCAGGCACCGTCCTCAAGCCATTTGTAGCAGTTTGCTAATTGCCAGATTTGAGGAGTCCCGAATAATGAGTCCCAGCAGCACCCACAAGACTTGCAGGAACCTCCTAAGCCCTCGCGGACCAGCAGAGGACAGGCCCGGGAATGTCTCCCAAGGGCTCCGGTTCCCTGCGCAGGCCACTGGGCCTCTGTAGGGTAAGGAAAAATGTTAGGCTTTTCTGCCCTCCTGCCATCAGGATGGATGATGGATCCTTGCGGTCCTGAATGCATGCCTGATGGCGGGCACCTGG